TGACCTCCATGCTCTGCTAACTAAGCAGTTCCATGGTAGCTATTCAAGCTCCATTTGTCTTCACTGGGCTGAACTTGAATGTAAACTGCAGATGGTAAAGAGTAACAAGCCTGAGCTTCCCCAGAACACAAGTAAAACAGAGGTGTAGTGTCACACACACTTATAACCCCACTTCTAGGGAGGTAGAGACAAGAGGATTCCTGGGCCTCACAGGCCAGCCAACCTAGCCTGCTTGGTGAGTTCCAAGTTAAAGAAAGACCCTATCTCAAAACACAATGTAGAAAGCACTTGAAGAATGTCAGCCAAGATTGTACTTCAAAAACCTTCTGGTTTCATGGCAAAATCTCTGATTCCTGCTACAAAGGACCAAGAGTGTAACAAAGTGCCATTACCAAACACTAAAAGAAGATAATAAGCTTGCGTATGCTAAAACAGATGTGGTATGCAGCAAGGTCCAGTGGTAGGTTTTGTGGCTGTCATTGGTGATGAGTGAGCACATGGCAGAGTAGGGCTTCTGCAGCAGGTGCTCATATGAAGCCTGTGACAGGTGAGTGCTGTGGTTCCTATTTCTGATGTTGTAGCATCATCTATGCCACCTCTATAGGCAACATTCTGTGTTGAAGAGCACTTGAGGGGCTGGGTAGGCGACTCAGTGGGTCAGAGCACAAGCTCTGTGATCATGAGGGCCTATGTTTGAATGTCTAGTACCCATGTAAAATCTGATGATGGCTGTGTGTGCCTGTGGAGCACTGATGGGTGGAGACAGGTGGATGCCAGACTTTCTCTGGAGAATGTGTATGCAGAGCGTCAGGCATTCCCACTCACACAGGAGAGCATCCTTGCAGCCCTGGCCACTTCCCTTAGAATGAAGGGTGAGAGCTGCCTCAAAGGAGGGTAGGTGGTGGCTTCTTTGTCACTGGCCCCAAAAGCAAAATCAGAACCAAATGCTGCATATTTGAGCATGCCAAGAATTTTTCTGGCAGTTGCGTTGCTATTTCTTGTCTGTGGGTTTGTTTTGGAAATAGAATGTTACATATTTTTTAAATGAACATGTTTCAGAGCAAATATGTGTCAGTTCCAGCAGTTAAGTGATTGTTCAAGATGTCCTGCCTCTACATTCGACCCAAACTCAGTAGTGTCTAGGAGACCTAAAAAAAAAAAAAAGAAAAGAAAAAAGAAACCTGGATACAGTGTCAGCAGGGCTAAGCAGAGACAGGAGGCTTAGGGAAATAGCAAGGATGTTTTGGGGTGGTATTGGAGGCCCACAGTAGTACCAAGAAGGCTGGGCAGTTACAGGAGACTTGAGGCATGCCATAGTTGGTTTTAGTTGTTAACTAGATGATACCTAGAATCACTTGGAAAGAATGTTTCAATGGGTTGGCCACTGGGTGTGTCTTCAGGGGATTTTCATAAGTAAGTTAATTGTTGTGGGATGAGCCTGCCCAATGTGGGCAACACTAACACTTAGGCAGGGGTCTTGATAGGTAAGCGTGGAGAAAGCAAGCTGAGAACTATTGAGCAAGCAAGGGAGCATGTTTGCACATCTCTTTGCTCTTCACTGTGGATATGATGTGACCAGAGATGCTTGAAGTTTCTGTTTGATGGACAGTAACTTGGAATTGTAATCTGAAAAAAGTCCCTTTCCCCCTAAATTTCTTTTTGCCAGGGTATACTATTACAGTGACAGAAGTGAAATTAGAATAAGGTGTTAGTGGGGACAGTGCCAAGCAGTCTGGGGTGTGCAGTGACAGGAATTGTGGGATTTGGGAGTCGGCCCCAATTCTCCAGGTAACTCACTCTGGAGACTGTAAATATTTTATGCCTGATTTGCTGATTTTGCGGGTGTTGTGTTTCACCCAGCAGTGGCTTGTTTTACATGTCATGTTCTTGTTCCTGGAAAAGAGGGTATTTTTATTTACATATGAATATGTAAGGGACCTAGTGCTTTATAGAATGGAACAACAGCTCTTGTTGTAATTGGCTGACTTTCTTGGCAATGTCTGTGCACATTCAGGAATTGGTTGAGTGAATATCTAACTCATACACAAGTTGTTTTCACAAACGATGGAAGTTTTATAAATAATCCATTGAGCAATCAATTGCATGAGTGATATTATATTTATAGACATCTGACTGAATATTTATTAATTAGGTTTTTTTTTATTTCAAGAGGTGGAAAGAAATATCTAGCAGGTCTAATTAAAAACGCAGCAGTTCAGTAGATTTTATGTTTGTGGTAAGGGCGAATAAATGAGCTTTTAAAGTTAATTTAGCTCATTCTCTGCATGATTATACTATGGTTTCATATATAAAGGGTTAGGGGTTTAGATAAAGAAAACATTGAAAAAGAAAGAAAAGTAAACATTGTTACAAGGAAAAGTTGAGGCAGAGTAGGCGGGACCAAGTGGGATGCAGCTAGGAAAGTCCTCCCCCGCCCCCCTGGGGCAAGGTAGGGGGACCTGAACTGCTAGAGCAGGTCTAGCAGATGATAGAAATGATAACTGACAGTAACAAAGCCATGGCTCTCTTGTGAATTATCTATGAATAGATAATTATCTGCTGCCTTGTATTATTGATTCTATATTGAATCTATACCTCAACATCCATGCAATAATATCAGGGCATCTATCTATATGACACACAGAGAACTGCCCTCTCACTGGCAGCATGCTGGAGGCTGCCGAAGAGTGTTTGTTCCTCGAAGAGAATACCACATGTCCTGATAGAGGTTTGTGTTCTGTCCCTATCAGTAAAACAGCCACATAACACACCTTGTTTTGTGGGACTCAGTTCTGGTGGTTGTCCCTTGTAACCTATAGGCTGCTCCCCAGACAGTTCACTGAGGGATGTCTTGGCTATGGGGTTTAGTTAGTAGGCAACTGCACATAGTGATAAGCTTGCTTAGGACATAGATACTGTTAGTCATGTGTACCTTGTTCACTCTGTTGTTTAGGAAGAGACAATGCAAATGCCTATCTCAGAATTCTGAGATTTGAATGAGATTAAACAGTAAGTTTCTCTCTATCTCTCTATCTATCTATCTATCTATCTATCTATCTATCTATCTATCTATCTATCTATCTATCTATCTATCTCTATCTCTATCTCTCTCAAATCATTTTGGCCCAGATTTGACATGAATGAAGGTATGAATGTGTGGTAAATGGAGTGAAGAAATGACATGAATTTTAAGAATGTTTACAGAACATTTGGGCTTGTTTGTTTTTCTGAGAAACGGTCCCAGGTAGCCTCGGCTAGCCTAGAGTTTGCTATTTAGTTGAGGATGGCCTTGAATTCTGGATCCCCCTGCCTCCACCTCTCTGATGTTGGGATTGCAGGCATGCAACATCATACCTGGCTCATTACTGGACAATTTTAATGAAAAAACTACATTTCTTTAGACTTTAAATTTTATTAATATCATACACGAAGAACAGTAACTCCTTTATAGAAAATATTAACTTCCTCCCTGCAGTTGGAAGGAGAGGGAAGCAGAAGCATATATTTTAAGTAATTCTTCCACTCTGAGATAATAATTTTTTCAGAGTGTATTATTATATTAGGATTATAAGTATGCCTAAATTAAAGTATTAATATCTAGCTCACAAACTCTCTTCATTATACCTCAAGATTATGAACATTGTTGATTCCCAACTAATAATAATACCGATCCATAATAACATAGCAATATTCAACTTCCATTTGGTCACACATTCTGCATATACAGTAATTGTAAAAGCATACAATTTCTTAGATTATGTGTTGTATGAGAGGAAAAGGTGTCATAATCAGGAAATTAGAGCTAATGGCAGGAAGGGGACCTCTTTGATCACCCCCTCCATGCCCCACATACTCCTGCTAAATGCACCTCATTATGAATTCATTTTCAGCTTCATTGAGTCCCAGAAATTAATTTGACATAAATTTCATTGTAAAGCTCTGGAAACTTTAATTTCAAAGGTAATATCAGTGTAGGATTGTTGGTGCAGCCAGTGCTTTACTGAAGCGACTCTTGCTTCTCCACCTTTCTCTCTCTTTAGTTTTACTGTTGCCTTATATTTTATTATTGTTTTAAATTTTCATTATTGCAGCTATGTATATGCATGCACTGTTTTTTATGTATCATGCTTTTCTCACTTTTTATATTTCCACATTTATGTGGACCCTGTTTGTTTGTTTGTTTTTAGTAATGAGGACTAAACCTAGCATTTTGTAGATGCTAAGAGTTAGTATTCAGGCATCTGTACTGGCCTGCCCTTGGGGTTCTGACAGGAGAAGTTCTCAGCTGCAGCCATTAAGAGCACCACCTGTGCACATTCACTATGTTCCCTTTTAAAAGGGCCTCCCCCACCTCCCATCTTCTCTCTCTCTCTCTCTCTCTCTTTCTCTCTCTCTCTCTCTCACCACTCTTGTCCCCAAGGACCAGTCTCTGCCCCTCTCTCCCCCTTTTCTGCCCCTTCCCTCTCCTCCTCCAATAAACCTCCTATGTGAATCCTGTTGTATGGTGGGACTTATCTTCGAGACATTTTTGAAATTACAATCCTAGACACGTATTGAACTGTCTTTTACTCTCAGTACCTTTATCTATCTCAACATATGTATATATATAACTGTTTGCTCAGATATCTAGGTATATCTCTCACTGGGTTGCTCAGGACCTACAATCCACTCTATAGCACATGAACTTGTGATCCTCCTATATAAAGTTCCCGAGCAGCTATAACGACAGGTTTATGTCACCAGGCCTCTCTTACTTTGCTGTGTTCTTGCCTTTATTTTAACAACCCTACTGTCAGGTGGTGTCATAGTCTCATATCACTCTTGCTAGCCACAGGGGATTATAGTGCATGTAGGTTATGGGTCTATTTGTGCAACAACGAAGCCACACCTTTCTATCTGTTCTTGTGTTATCCTGGCTCCTTACAAATGGCTCCCTTGAGTTCTTGATGACCTAGGTGGGAGTTTGACGCTTCCTCCTTGCTGTTCCTTGACCCTCACAGGTCCTTTCCTCTTGAGAACCTGTGTCTTCACGCTGGCGCACTCTGGCTGAGTTCTCCTAACCTGGACCTGGGACCACATGCCATTAAGCACATGTACCACACATGGCAGGCATATCTGCACAGGGCATTCTGAGGCCACAGGAGGAATGAGGTTAGTATTGCAAAATGATGGTGTTGAGATGAGTCCTTACAGGTGGGAAAAAGACTGCAGGTAGTTGGGTCTCCACCCAAGTGTGAGCACGGGTCTTCTAGAAGATATCTTCAGTCTTTTATTTCACACAGTTTCAGAACTGTGTGGATGGTACAAAGAGAATTAAACAGATGAGAAGTTTCTCTGAAGGGGAGTTCTGTTTCTGGGTTCATCTGTATCAGCCTTCCCTCTCCATGCTCTTGTGCTCTGAACCCACCAGCCAGGCTGGCCTACTGGGAGAGTTCTATGGTACACACTGGTGTCAATGTAACACAACTGCCATTGTTGCTCTCTCTTTTTCCAAACTGACAGTGTATTGAATCTGCTGAATTTTAATTTTTTCCTCAGGTTTGTTCTCTACTGGAATGACAGTGGGAGTGGCAAGCCATTTCTTCTCCCACTGCCAATGCAGAGACACCCATGCTGTCTCTGGCCTCCTGGAATCAGCTTCCAGCTTCACTGGTGAGCCTCAATTCCCAGGGTAGACTGAGGAACTAAGGGGAAACCCTGTGTTTGTGGCTTTGAGTGAGCTTGGCTATGCATGGTCTGTGTCCTTTCTTGCCTCCCACTGGATTTTCATCTTGAAAACAAAGGGAACATGGAAGATAGCTAGTTGGGGGAGCAACATAATTAGTTGCATTCTAGATCATTCTGACAGACCTGGGATGTGAGCTGGAGGGGCAGGAGCATGAGGGGATAGCTGCAGAATCCTTCTCTATCCAGGTTCCTGGAAGACTAGAGGGGTAGGATAGCAGATAGCATATGGGGCATGGAGAAAGTAGGGTATAGGCTAAGAAGCTGGATTCTGGGATGTTCCTAGGTTGCTGTTTGGTGCCAGAAGACTGCCTGTGACAGGAGAACAGCCTGGAGAACCCAGTCTTTTCTGGAATTGTTCTTGCTCAGGTGGCAGACAGGGGCCACTCTCGAAGAATCTGGCTTTTCCTCACAAGTCAGCAGTTCCCCTAGAGAAGAAACACCCGGGCTTGGCCAGCTTTGCTGGGCTGCTTGCCATTCTCCTCTCACTTCACATTCTGTCCTGCACTTTGTGCCATGCCATTTTCTTTCTCAGTGGAATTCAAGCTCTGTGTATACAGCAAGACGGAGGAGCGGCTGGTGGCACTCTCTGCAGTGGCAGATGACACTGGGGAACTGGAAGTCCATGTTGCCACAGAATTTTGGAAGGCTGTTGAATAGATAAAAATCAACGATGAGACTGACTGCTCACTTTCCAGTCCTGGGCATCCAGGAGAGCTGCAGACTTCTGTCTGGAACTTACTGAGGCTTCTTTGGGGCAATAATTCAATACGAGAAGAATGATATTCATCAATCAGGCATGCTAGCTCTGCATGTTTCATCTAAAGCCCCTGTGAAAGCTGGCCCTGGAATGAATGTGAGTCTCATGCTGGCTTCCTAGTCAACTTTCAAAGGACTCGATGTGAGATGTCTGCACCAATTTGTATGCAATTTGAAGAAAGTATTTCAGCACACAACCAACTGGTGTGCACTGGATGTCTACTGCTGCAACCCTAGCTGGTGCAATGCTGTCCTGATTAGGGGGCTATATCCCCAGCTGGGGTGCAATGCTGTCCTGATTAGGAGGCTATACCCCCAGCTGGGGTAAAATGCTGTCCTGACTAAGGAGCTGCACCCCCAGTCAGGTACAATGCTGCCCTGACTAGGAGGCTGCACCCCTAGCCAGATGCAATGCTGTCCTTACTAGGTGGTTGTACCCCTAGCTTGGGTGCAATGCTGTCCTGACTAGTGGCCACATGCTATTATGGGAGTCTCAGAAGCTCCAGAAAAAAGGCTGTGACATTTAAAAAATTGTTCATTTTAGTAAAAAATTTACTTTCTTTCACATAAAAATAATCTTGGGAAAACTGAGTAACATGTGGTATGAGCTGGTGTGGGGTGGAAGACCTGGGTGTCCCAAGTGCTCCCCTCTTCCCAAGGTGCTTGTGTGGAGGTAGCCTTTCTCCAGACAAAAATGAGCTTTGTGTGCTGGGAAGATGGCTCAGTGGATTAAGTGCTAGCAGTGTATGTGTGAGGGCCATAGTCCATATCCCTGAAACACATTTAAGAGTCCAGTAGGTGTGACAATAGTCTGCAATCCAGCACACAGAAGCATGAATAGGAGATCCTGGAACAAGCTAGCTAGTCAGATTAGGCATGCTCTGGGTTCAGTGAGAGACCTGGCTTTACTAAACTGGGGACTGATTTAAGAATACACCTGATGTCAACCATGGGCCTCCATGTGTTTCCTGCACACACTCGAATGCTGTACACACATGTACATATACACGTACATTCACAGACATGCAAACACCAGCAAACACACTCAGCCACACTGCACACCTACCCCCAAAACCCAACCCAAACCAAACCACCGCCCCCTACCAAAACCCCACCTAAACCCCCAAACCAGAGCTTTGTTAAAAAACCAATGTGTTATTCCTCAGTTCTCATGGTGCATGAATCTCAGTGTAACTTTCATGGCATTGGTAGAATGTACAAATTACACAAGCTGAGATTTTTTCATGCTCCATACTGAGCTGCGTTTTCATTGCATACAATTACAAAAGAGCATAATATCTCAGATATTTGAGTCACAATCTTAGCCTTATTACTGTCAAAAAGCAATTACAAGCCATTTTTATGCAGAGATCAAACATAAAATTAAAGACTCAGAAATGAAAGCGAAACATTTTTAACCATACTATACGGTACTCATAACAGTGTCTCTAGAGCCAAATGTGGAGCATAGAAAATATGCATATTCTGCAAGCTATGAAGGGTGTTCACAAAGATGCACTTGAAGAGGAACCCAGACCAGCTGTTAGTTGTAGCTTTATCTCCATGCCCGCTGATGTATTACAGAAAAGTGAGGGGGAAAGATCTCACTGAAATACTTAAAATCTTTAAATAAACCAGTTGGAATGGGGCTTTCGAAACCAGAAGCAGGAAGTCTTGAGAGCCAACATGAGCGGCCCAGGTAGATGGATGACAACTTCTCTGGTGCTGTGTCCTGTGACACAGATAAAACATAGGGCCACAGGTACTGGGAATTGATCAGTTAGGAAAGTGCATGAGAAGTGTGAGCGCCTCGAGCTGGTCTGTACACAGGAATGGTGTAGGATGCTCACTTGGCAAAGTTTTCTTCAACAGAAGCCTCTTCTGGAGTCAAGGACAATGTGTGTATGCAGTGAGGCCAACAAACCAGGAAGACTTGGACTGGGCTGTCCCAGTGCAGCTGGTTTGGGTGTGACTGTTGTGGAGTTTGGGAACTCCTGGTGACAACTCTCAAGTGTCTTGGGTGTCTGGAAAGATTTCATGCATCAGTCCTTTTTGTTGGGGAAGCCTGCTTCTGAGACTGATAGACTGTGGTATCCATGCACCTCTTACCAACTTAAAGATGGTGGAAAGTGCCATTGATTAGCAGATAGTCTTGTTATTCTTTTGACCCTGCTACTGGCAGCACACTAGTCAGTGATCAGAACAGATGAAGGAAGTCGGAGCTCCTGTGTCTGAGGCATGCCAGCCTCTGGGGTCAGCAGGAAAGAGGGCAGCACAGACAGCAAGCCACTACAGTGTTTTGAGGAGCAGGGTAAGTGCCTGCCTCAGGCTGGGAAAAATAAAGCCTGTGGGAATGTACTTCTATCTAAGGTAGTCAAGGTGTGATTCCTGCATATCTTAGGTTTTCTATTGCTGCAATAAAACTTCATGACCAAAAAGCAAGTTGGAAAGGAAAGGGTTTATTCTGCTTATACTTCCACATTGCTGTTCATCATTGAGGGAAGTCAGGACAGGAAGTCAGAAGGGGTGCTGCTTACTGGCTTGCTCCCCATGGCTTGCTCAGCCTGCTTTCTTAGAGAACCCAGGACCACCAGCCCAGGGATGGTACCACCCACAATGGGCTGGGCTCTCCCCTATAAATCATCAATTAAGAAAATGCCTTACAGTTGGATCTTATGGAGGCATTTCCTCAGTTAAGTTTTCCTCATTTCGCTTAACTCTAGTTTGTGTGTCAAGAAGACATAAGACTAGCCAACACACTGCCATTTATCCTGGAGGCTGGGTCTTTTGTGTTTAGGTGTGGGTTTAGGAGTGTTTATGGAGGCCAGAGGTCACCATGAGGTATCTTTTTCAAGTACTCTCTGACTGGGTGGTTTTGTGTATCTTGACACGTGTGCCTTTGACTTGCATGCGTACCTATCCTGCAGGTGTTCCCTGTCTCTTCAGAAGTGCTTGATAGGTTTCATGCCAGGAGCGTCTGCTTTCCACAGGTTCCCAGAAAGAAAGAGCATCCAGGAACACTGAGGAAGTTCAGCTAGTCTGGTTATTTCTCCCCATCATAGGAGGTAGGGCAGCTCTCAGGGCTACAGTGTCCTTTTCCAAGAAACTAAGATTCTGCAAAACTAGGATGGGATCCTGGGAAACAAGTCCACTAGACTTTTTATCTGCTAAATACAAATCATGGAGCTTTGTCCCCACAGAGTTAATCACACACGATTTTCCTTCTAGGTTCGTTTCAGCTAGTCTAACCCAGACAGGAAGACCACAGAGTCTTGACATACCACCATGCCACACAAGTAGACACATGTGTCATGAAGCACAGATGCACACACAGAGCCCACCTGCTGTAATGTGGTTGTCCAGTGGGAACACAGCATAGGTTGTGTAGGCATTACATTTCATGTTGGTTGTTGCTAATGCTAAGCACCTTTGTGTGTGTCCACCTGTGTCCTGTCATTGACCAAGCCCCTGACTTTCAGGGTTCTTAGGAGCACTTAAAATACTGTTCAAAGTAGCCATAATTAGCAAGCAGACTGTATGAATACTCACACTCATTCCACATAGCTTCCTTGCTGGCACGGAGCAATCCATTACCTGCTTCAGTGAACCGTCCCATTGGTAATTTGCAGAGTTCTCACCCTTGGGTGATGGAGTAAGCTGCCCTCTTCCCAGGCACTGGCTACTATTGTTTAAGCCAAATGTATAATGCATGAGAAAAGTTTGTATATCAAACATTCCGAACAGGGTACTTAAATTCTAGACAAACTGATAACATTCACATCCATGAGGATGGAAGGGGGTAGGAGTCATTTTTTGCAGGGCTATTTTATTGAGGTAAAATTCACACGCCATACAGTTCACTCAAGGATAGTATACAACTCAATGACTTCAGTAATCACAGATTTGTGCAATCCACCACTATAATCAATGTTAGTACATGCTGATTACTCTATAAAGAAATCCCACAACTATGGACACTCACTCCCCATGTCCCATGAACTTTCTAGCATCCAGGAACCATTCATCCATCTTCCATGTCTGTAGGTTTTCCCCTCTGGACATTTCACATAAACAGAGTTGGATGGCATGAGGGCTCTCATGATGGCTTCTTTTGCTTACAGTAATATAGTTTAGCATCATCAGTAGTGTAACGTGTTAATGATTGCTTTGTTTGGCAAGTAATATTCCATTTAATAGATACGCCTCATTTTATTTAACTATTTGTGAGTTGATAGGCGTCTGCACTATTATGACTAATGTGTTTAGAAATTTATAACTTGTGATTATTATATGGAGAGTTGGGCATGAATTATAATAATTTAGGTATTATTTTAGAGATTTCCTAAATCTTTCCTAGGAATTAGAGTTAGCTATTTCACATGAGATTATAGTTGTGAGACCCAGATGATCAAAGGAAAGAGTAAAATTAAAATATGATACATTTTAAATACTCCAAATGCAAAATAAAACAAACCATAGATATGAATAACTACACATCCATGAGGAAACAGTCAATCTAATTTTTTAAATATGTGAAGTTTTCCCCTATTTCTCTCATCTGCTACCTTCACTACACTAAGCTAGACACTGGTTTTGATTATTTTAATTTTACGTACATTACTCCTACACTATGTCACATGTTATGTCAAGTACTGAGACTGCAAACAAATGAACAAGCCACAAACATCAGGGCCTGGAGAGATGGCTCGGCAGTTAAGAGTATTTGCTGATCTTAGAGAGGACCTGAGTCCAGTTTCCAGCACCTATGTCAGACAGCTCACAACTGGCTGTAGCCCCATCTCTAGGGGACCCGACACTTTCTTCTGCCTAGTGGGTGATAACACTGCATGTACACAGGTTCACACACTGACATACAGATATACACATAAGTAAGAACCTGTGGCTAGAAAGGTCATGGGTTTTGGGGAAGAGCCTATCACCAATACTCTGCTAAATGGATGTAGCATTCAACCAGCTCCTAATGACTCATTGTTATACCTGCAGATTAAGGCATCTCACACCTGTCATCAGAGAAGCCTCTATTTGTAGTAGAAGGTGATTAACATAGAGACCCCACAACTGGCCAAGGCAAAGAAA